ATGGTGCTTGCTATCACCTGCAATGTCATTGGAGTGAGGGCTTTTGGTGACTCCTCAGCACAGTGGGTTAAAACTGTTTTGTGGAAGTGGGAGCCTGTCTGTGGAAGTGGGCACCCCAACCACACATATACATACATCTACATTTTCACTTTTATTATCGATATAGAAGATATAGATAGATGAAAGGTTTCTAGCCTTTTGAGACTGCAGAGAGGTTAGGAAAGTGTGTAAGCAATGCTTTTCGAGAGTTAGCGCCCGGGAATAAATAATACAGAACATGAGAGCACACTGTTAGCTTTTTATGTCAATGTCGTGTAACAGTTGAATCCAGCTTTTCTTGTTTCAAATATTTTACAGGTAAAGGAAGCACTGTAGATATTGTATATTGCATGTTTGTCATTGTTATTTGGATGTTTGGCTACTTGATTGGCAGCTGCATTGATGGTGGTCTTATTTCAGATAACACGCCTTTGTATGTCAGGATGCCAGGCAATGCGCGCAATGCAATTCTGTAGAAACATCTGGAGAGAACTATCTGGCTGACCATCGCAATAAATATTCTTTTAGAGCTGCCAACATCTACATTTGGGTTGGAGATGCCATTTCAGTAGAGGCCCTTTGCATCACAATAATCAGTCTCTGTTTGCCTCTTGGCACCACGAAGTCGCCAAGAATGGGGCCATTCAGGTCTCATGTGGCATCAGCCGAATGGTTGGCTTATTGAGGGAATCTTCTCCTTTGGCACCTGTCTGTGGGTGTTGTTGAAACAGCAAAAGTACAGGGAGTTCTTGGGGAAGAGAACAGCTTGCTGTCACAGAGATAAGGCCTGGAGGAAGGCTGCTGGATCCGTTTCAGCAATGCTGCTGCTTCTGCTGACTGCACCGAATTCACCTTCTGTTTCAGGGAATGGGCCTGGGAGGAGAGCCCTGGCATTTCTTGCAGAGGAGAATGCCATTTTGAAAAGGCTCTCAGTTGCAGAGACTGCCATCAAAATGCATGGGTGGAACAGACTGTATCCGCATGTGTGCTGTGTATGTGCATTCTGGTATATCTCACTGAATAAATCACCATCTAGGGTGTGGTCAGTTGGTGACAATGGAGAAAGGGAAAGCCCACTCACAGAGAGGAACGGAGAGAGCATAGAGCAAAGTAGAGAAGGCAGGAACCCAGAAAAGGGAGGTCACTTTCAATCCTGTTGGTGTTATTTTCACATGACAATCTATACAAAATATATACAAATATATATTTGTTCTGCATATGATTGTCGCAAGAAATCTATTTTTGCAAAATCCAATGCACAATTATTATTTCCATATATAAATCAATTTTTTGGATAAAATAAATAAATAAAATTATCAGCAGGAAGAAAACGAATGTCAGGTGAAAGGATATTATTCTCACAGATTCTCACTGAAGACATGCCATGAAGTTGGACACTTAACTTACCCTGAATTAAATGCGGATGGCTCAAATCAATTTATTCTTTGATTTTTCTCTTTCATGATGCCATATTCTGAGGTATACATGTATAAATATTGTAATTATATATTACTAGCTGTCCCCTGCCATATGCTGCTGTGGTCCAGTCTGTGTATATGTTTTGTGTGTGTATATATGTGTGTTTGTGTGTATATGTGGTTTTGCGCATGTGTTGTAATGCATTTTTTTGTTTTTTTGGCTTTTTAAGTCTCTTCTGCTGTGTTTTTCAGTGTTTTTATGAGTTATGGTCACTTGTTGGCCTAAGAGGTGTATTGTGTCCAAATTTGGTGTCATTTCGTCCAGTGGTTTTTGAGTTATGTTAATCCCACAAGTGAACATTACATTTATATATATATATAAATTATAACATTTCTACAGCTGCTTTGGACCTCCGGTGGCGCAGCAGGTTAAACCACTGAACTTACTGAACAAAAGGTTGGTGGTTCAAATCCAGGGAGTAGGGTGAGCTCCTGCTATTAGCCCCAGCTTCTGCCAACCTAGCAGTTTGAAAACATGCAAATGTGAATAGATCAATAGATACTGCTTCTTCAGGAAGGCAACGATGCTCCATGCAGTCATGCTGGCCACATGACCTTGGAGGTGTCTACGGATAACACCTGCTCTTCAGCTTAGAAATGGAAATGAGCACCACCACCCAGAGTCGGACACAACTAGACATAATATCAAGAGGAAACCTTTAACTTTGCATTTACAGCTGTTTTCTTCAGGTATGAGAATACAGATGATAATAACTTCATTCCCACAACCTTTTCCCAACTTAAACAGTATTTTGTGCACAAAAGCATGTGCATTCAAGTGTAAATATGGTTACAAGTGCCACATGCACATTCACTTCTAAGTAAAGTTACAGTATATGCTTATGTGTACAGGCTGATTGTAATGTTGCTTCCCAAATTGCTATGTTTGTGTAGATTGGTTTGTGTGTAACCTATAAACATATAGCCATTTCTGTGGCTTCTTTTCTTACTCTCATTTTCTGCCTTTTCTCGTGATGAGTTGCATAGTTTGTGGCTGGGTACGGAAGAAGAAAAACAAGCGAACGTGTTCCACTCGGAACAGAAGGTTACTCATTGTTTACTTTTATTGACTTTCTGTCATTTATCAGAGAATTAAGTGTTCAGTTTGCGGTTTTGGCTGAGGCTCTTTTTAAGGACAGGTGCAGTTTCTCTGCAATAAAAAACTATTGTCCATGCCATCGCATTTTCCATTTTGATCTATGATTGTGAAAACCAGACAGTGAAGAAAGATAGGAAGAGAATCAACTCACTTGAATTGAGGTGCTGGAAAAGAGTTTAACAAAGACTGCTAAAAGGGCAATAAAACAAATCCTAAAACAAATAAAATCTGAACTCTTTCTAAAAGCCAAGATGACTAAGGCCTCTTCCACACAGTTATATAAAATCCACATTGAACTGGGTTTTATTTATATATATATATATATTTATTTACTTATTTCCTATATCTTCTCACCCCAAAGTGGACTCAGAGTGGCTATCTATCTATATATATATAAATGCTCTGGTCATAATGAGTACCTTAAAAACAAAAGAACCAATGAACGAAATCACACCAAATTTGGCAACAAAGCATCTCACAACACAAGGAGTGACCATGACTCAAAAAATTATGATTTTTTTTTCATTTGGGAGTTGTAGTTGCTGGGATTTATAGTTCACCTACAATCAAAGAGCATTCTGAACTCCACCAACAATGGAATTGAACCAAACTTGGTACACAGAACTCCCATGACCAACGGAAAATACTGAGGGGGTTTGGTGGGCATTGACCTTCACTTTTGGAATTGTAGTTCACCTCCATCCAGAGAACACTGTGGATTCAAACAATGATGGATCTGGACCAAACTTGGCACAAGCACTCAATACGCCCAAATATGAACACAGATGGAGTTTGGGGGAAATAGACCTTGACATTTGGGAGTTGTAGTCACTGGGATTCACAGTTCACCTACAATCAAAGAGCATTCTGAACCCCACAAATGACAGAATCGGGGCAAACTTCCCACACAGAACCCCATGACCAACAGAAAATACTTAAGGCCATCCAATCCAACTCCCTTCATCAGGGCAAGAAAACGTAATCAAAGTCCTCCTGACAAAGAGCCATCCAGCCATAGATATAGATAGATAGATAGATAGATAGATAGATAGATAGATAGATATGATTCACACACAGAGATATAGTATCATAGATTTGAAAGGGACCCTTAAAGAAGGACAATGATATGTTGCATGTTCCAGGGTGGGCAAACCAGACACTCTCCACATCAACACTGACAAAGAAACAGCAAGAAATACTGTTTACCCACAAGCATAAAGAAATTACAACATATTAGAAACTAACACTTTCTCGTTACTTTATTTTCCAGATCAACAGACTGGGCCACAGCAATGTGTGGCAGGGGACAGCTAGTTTCCTATATTTATACCCCACTCTTCTTGCCCCAAAAGGAACCACAGCAGCTTACAGATTATGACAAAATTCAATGCCGCATTATACATATAAATAAACAAATATTACATCTAGAATTATAAAACAGTTATAACATTTAAATACAATAAGTTTAAAAACATAGTGCCTACTCATAGTCCTTATTCAAGCTGCTACATTCAAGTTGGATTCCATATTGCACTATTCTCTGAACACTTGTGTATAAAGACCAGGAGGGAGGGGCTAGTCTTATGTCACTGGGAAGGGAGTTCCATAGCCGAGGGGCTACCACTGAGAAGGACCTGTCTCTCGTTCCTACCAGTCATGCCTGCGAAGGTGGTGGAACCAAGAGTAGGGCCTGCCCAGCAGATCTTAACGCTCTAACTGGCTCATAGAGGAAGATACGTTCAGACAGGTAAGTTGGGCCAGAACTGTGTAGGGCTTTATAGGCCAAAGCCAGCACTTTGAATTGAGCCTGATGGCAAACTGACAGCTAGTGGAGCTGACGTAATGGAGTTGTGTGCTCCCTGTATACAGCTCCAGTGAGGAATCTGGCTGTGACCCATTGAACTACTTGGAGCTTCCAAACAGTCTTCAAAGGCAGCCCCATGTGTCAACTCAAATAACCAATTTCAAAGCAGATATTGTGGATTATCTGCCTTGATATTGTGGGTTATATGGCTATGTGGAAGGACCCAATGCAAAATCTACACTGCCATGTAATCCAGTTTCTGATATCAGATTATCAGCTTTGAATTGGATTATATGGCAGTGTAGCCTCATAATCCAGTTCAAAGCAGATGATCTGGATTATATGGTAGCGTAGATCAAGCCTAAACCAAGACTATCATAACTTTGACACAGCATGGGAAGACATGACTCCCTTGAAATGATATTATTACTTAGATAAGTAGAAGTCAGTATGAAAAAAGGAAGACCTCTTTAGAGAGGGGTAGACACAATCAAGTCTGAAAGACTTGAGTAGTGTGTTGGAGGGGTTAGTTCTCATCACTGGGGTAACGGCCTATACTGTATTTCTACTCACAGGGTGGTTGTTCTGGTCGAACAGATGGCTTTCTGCTCCACTTGATTCCTGCAGACTTCCTAGGAAAGAGATCTGTGCAACGTGCAGGTTTGCATTCAGCTTCTTCCACTGGAAGCTGGTCTGGAAAAGGTAACATCCCTCCCCTTTTTCCTACTGCCCCAAATTGACAAGTTGATCTTGAACAAAATAGCTCTCAGATTTGGTTTTCCCATCTAGTTGTACCTGATCAGCTAGGCATGCCAAGAGTTTGTAAACTTATGGGGGGTTTATTGTTATTTGCAGTGATGATTTTGGACACATACAGGCAGTTCCAGAATTACAAACATCTGACTTGATGACTTATAGTTAAGAGCAGAGGTGAGACAACAGGAAGTGAGGAGATTAACTCCCAAAAGAATGATCGTGGGGAAAAGATGTTTCCACTGAAGCTTTATCTCCAATCCTTGTTTCTACAATGTCAAAATATCCGGGCGTCCCTTAGGCAACATCCTTGCAGACAGCCAATTTTCTCACACGAGGAGCAACTTACAGTTTCTCAAGTTGCTCCTGACACAAATAAAAAAAAAAGTGAGGTGAAATCTTCTGAACAGGGGCACAGATTAACACCACAAGGGGTTTAACCCTTCCAAAGCATATGTGTGTGTGTGTGTTTATAGATAGATAGATCGATCGATAGATAGTTTAGAGCAGCGGTTCTCAACCTGGGGGTCGCGACCCCCGGGGGGTCGCCTGGCCATTTTCGAGGGGTCGCGAGGCAGTCTCCGTTGGCCCCGCCCCCTCATCAAAATGGCTCCCCACAGGGTGGATGGCTCACGTTTCCCGCGCCTCCCCCCGAGCCCGGCGGGAAGCGCGAGGAGGCCAAAATGCTCCCCGCAGGGCCCAGGGCCTGCCTGGGAGCACGGCTTGGCCTCCTCGCACTTCCCCCCGAGCCCGGCGGGAAGCGCCAGCTGGCCAAAATGCTCCCGGCAGGGCCCAAGCCCTGCCTGGGAGCGGGATTTGGCCTCCCCGCGCTTCCCGCCGGGCTTGGGGGGAAGCGCCAGCTGGCCAAAATGCTCCCGGCAGGGCCCAAGCCCTGCCTGGGAGCAGGATTTGGCCTCCTCGTGCTTCCCGCCGGGCTCGAGGGAGGGACCAGTAGGCCAAAACGTTCCCTGCAGGGCCCAAGCCCTGCCTGGGAGCACGGCTGGCTGTGAGGCCGGAGGCAGCCATGTGGGCTGAAGCAGCTTTGCAAGAAGCAGGCTCCTTCCTCACGCTGCTTCTGTCCTTCCTGGACCCAGCTGGGCCCCAACGGAGCGCAGTGAAGGAGGACCTCAGCTCAGCGACCTGCCTGCCTGCCTTCCTGTCTGCCTGACTTCCTGGGCCAAGAGGTGAAAACTCTCATTATTATTGTTGTTGTTGTTGTTGTTGTACTATTAAGGCTGGATGGCCATCTGTCAAGGGTGCTTTGATTGTGCTTTCCCTCCATGAAAGTAGAATGAAGGAGGTTGGACTATATGGCCTTTAGAGGTCCCTTCCAAATCTGTTGTTTTTGTTATTATTATCTATGGGTGGTCATCTGTCGTGGGTGCTTTGATTGTGCTTTTCATGCATGAAGGCAGAAGGGAGTTGGACTAGATGGCCCAAGGGGTCTCTCCCAGCTCGTTTTTGTTGTTGTTGTTGTTGTTGAGGCTGAATGCCAAGTTTGGTTTAATTCCATTTCTGTTTGAGTTCAGAATGCTCTTTAATGGCAGGGAAACTATATATCCCCAGAACTCCCAAAAGCCAAGGTCTATTTTCCCCAAACCTCTTTGGTATTTTCTGTTAGGCATGGGATTTCTGTATGCCAAGTTTGGTTTAATTCCATTGCTGTTTGAGTTCAGAATGCTCTTTGATGGCAGGGAAACTATATATCCCCGGAACTCCCAAAAGCCAAGGTCTATTTTCCCCAAACCTCTTTGGTATTTTCTGTTAGGCATGGGATTTCTGTATGCCAAGTTTGGTTTAATTCCATTTCTGTTTGAGTTCAGAATGCTCTTTGATGGCAGGGAAACTATATATCCCCAGAACTCCCAAAAGCCAAGGTCTATTTTCCCCAAACCTCTTTGGTATCTTCTGTTAGGCATGGGATTTCTGTATGCCAAGTTTGGTTTAATTCCATTTCTGTTTGAGTTCAGAATGCTCTTTAATGGCAGGGAAACTATATATCCCCAGAACTCCCAAAATGCCAAGGTCTATTTTCCTCATGCCTCTCCAGTGTTTTCTGTTTGTCCTGGGTGTTCTGTATGCCATGTTTGGTTTAATTCCATTTCTGTTTGAGTTCAGAATGCTCTTTGATGGCAGGGAAACTATATATCCCCAGAACTCCCAAAAGCCAAGGTCTATTTTCCCCAAACCTCTTTGGTATTTTCTGTTAGGCATGGGATTTCTGTATGCCAAGTTTGGTTTAATTCCATTTCTGTTTGAGTTCAGAATGCTCTTTAATGGCAGGGAAACTATATATCCCCAGAACTCCCAAAAGCCAAGGTCTATTTTCCCCAAACCTCTTTGGTATTTTCTGTTAGGCATGGGATTTCTGTATGCCAAGTTTGGTTTAATTCCATTTCTGTTTGAGTTCAGAATGCTCTTTGATGGCAGGGAAACTATATATCCCCAGAACTCCCAAAAGCCAAGGTCTATTTTCCCCAAACCTCTTTGGTATTTTCTGTTAGGCATGGGATTTCTGTATGCCAAGTTTGGTTTAATTCCATTTCTGTTTGAGTTCAGAATGCTCTTTGATGGCAGGGAAACTATATATCCCCAGAACTCCCAAAAGCCAAGGTCTATTTTCCCCAAACCTCTTTGGTATTTTCTGTTAGGCATGGGATTTCTGTATGCCAAGTTTGGTTTAATTCCATTTCTGTTTGAGTTCAGAATGCTCTTTAATGGCAGGGAAACTATATATCCCCAGAACTCCCAAAAGCCAAGGTCTATTTTCCCCAAACCTCTTTGGTATCTTCTGTTAGGCATGGGATTTCTGTATGCCAAGTTTGGTTTAATTCCATTTCTGTTTGAGTTCAGAATGCTCTTTAATGGCAGGGAAACTATATATCCCCAGAACTCCCAAAAGCCAAGGTCTATTTTCCCCAAACCTCTTTGGTATTTTCTGTTAGGCATGGGATTTCTGTATGCCAAGTTTGGTTTAATTCCATTTCTGTTTGAGTTCAGAATGCTCTTAGATGGCAGGGAAACTATACATTCCAGCAACCCCCAAATGCCAAGGTCTATTTTCCTCATGCCTCTCCAGTGTTTTCTGTTTGTCCTGGATGTTCTGTATGCCATGTTTGGTTCAATTTCATTGTTGGAGTTCAGAATGCTCTTCGATGGCAGGGGATCTATACACCCCAGTAACTGCAACTCCCAAATGTCTTGATCTATTTTTCCCAAACTCCACCAGTGTTCAATTTTGGGCATACTGAATATTTGTGCCAAGTTTGGTCCAGATCCATAGTCATTTGGGTTCACAGTGCTCTCCGGATGTACATCTTCCATAAATCACTGTCAATTCCTCCCAATCCCCTCCATATTTTTTGTTGGTTATTGGGGTTCTGTGTGCCAAGTTTGGTCCAGGTCTGTAATTCGTGGGAGTCACAGTGGACTGTGGATGTCAGAGGTAAACCAACTGAAGGTACTGCAGATCCCACCATCCCTTGTCCATACTCCCACAAACATATTGTTTTTGTGATTAATCACTATGCTTTAATTATGTTCTATTTCTACCAATGAAAATACATCCAGAATATCAGATATTTACATTACAATTCATAACAGTAGCAAAATTACAGTTATGAGTAGCAACGAAAATATGGTTGGGGGTCACCACAGCATGAGGAATTTTATTTAGGGGCCACGGCTTTAGAAAGGTTGAGAACCACTGGTCTAGAGTCACACTTTGAAAAAGTACCTGTTCTGACTTACAAACAAATTCAGCAAACCTAGAGAACGTATCTTGTTCATAACATGGGGACTGCCTGTACCTAAGACAAGAAATGATTTTGAATACCACAACTGTTCCAAAGTCACAATTCTCCCATGCAAATGGATGGTTACCGCAAACTTTAAAAAACCCAACAGTATAATTTAATGGGGTGTGTCTGTTTCTTTTATTTCATGGCTGTAAAATATTTGGCTGTCATAAATCTTTGCTTATGAAACAAATGTGATTCCTATATATTTTTTGTGAGGAATTGAAGGTATTGTACCTTATGCAGGTCTGTTTGTATCTAGCTATAATTCCTTAATTTGTGGTTAGCTCATCCAGGCTCCCAAGATTGTGAACAATAGTATTTTATGTACCGTATATCCACGAGTATAAGCTGAGTTTTTCAGACCTTTTTTAGGCTGAAAAAGCTCTCCTCAGCTTATACTTGAGTCAAGGTTATTTATCATTTTAAAGTTAAAGGTATTCCCCTGACATGAAGTCCAGTTATGTACGATTCTGGGGTGTGGTGCTCATCTCCATTTCTATGCCAAAGTTGTCCGTAGACACCTCCAAGGCTATGTGGCTGGCATGACTGCATGGAGCGTCGCTACCTTCCCGCTGGAGAGGGAATTTATTATTTTACTCTATTATTATTATTATTATTATTATTATTATTATTATTATTATATTATTATTATTATTATTTTAGTCTATTATTACATGTATTATTTTTCTCTATTATTTTTATTATTACATTTATTGTTTTACTCATTTATTGTTTTATTATGACATTTATTATTTTATTATATTATTATTACAATTATTATTTCAATCTATTATTATTACATTTATTATTTTTCTCTATTATTATCACATTAATTATTTGACTCTTATTATTGGAAGGATACGTGAGCACATTTACATTGAAGAAGATTAGAATAATCAGAGTTGGACAGTCTTATCTTAAATAACAGTTTTATGTAAATATTCAGAAACATTTAACTTACGGATGCCTCAATTAATGTAATTTTATTGGTTTCTATTTTTATTTTGAAATTTACCAGTAGCTGCTGCATTTCCCACCATCAGATTATACTCGAGTCAATACGTTTTCCCAGTTTTTTTGTAGTAAAATTACGTGCCTCGGCTTATATTCGGGTTGTCTTATACTCTAGTATATACTCAAGGATTCCTTAGAGGCGGTTTTGCAAGTTCCTTCCTTCAAATTACAATCCACAACACCTGATATTCATTGGCATTGTCTCATCCAAGTACTAACTGAGCTTGTTTAGCATCCAAGATCAGATGGGATCTGATGCCTTTGAGTTATCTAAATTGGTAGATTGTGTATCATTACATTAGTAGAATGTCTCAAACTGTTATATTCCAGCCCACTAGAAACTCCATTACACTGATCTACTGCAAATAGAAGTCTTCCTTTTCCCTTTATGTGACTGACCGAGTGCTAGTTGGCTCCCAGGCATTTCAGACAGGGGTCCCAGCCAACTCTATTTAGAGATGTCAGGAATTGGGCCTGGGATCTTTTGCATGCAAAACACGTGTTCTTTCCACTTGGAGCCGCTCTCGGGTTCCCAGCCTGCATTTCAAAAGGGCACAGAGAACAGAGGGAAAACTGGAAGAAGAGAAAGGTGGAATCACATGCTAACTCAGGAAGGTTACGAACGAAATAGGTTCTGTAGGTTTGTTCTTAAGCTGAATTTGTATGTAAGTTGAAACAGGTACTTTTCAACAAGTATAACTCGAGCAAAATATATACATATATTAGCTTTGGATAGCATAGGGTAGGGTTAACACCCTGGTGTGTTTGTTTTGCTTTACAGCAAGAAAGTCTCTACTTTTGTTACTGATGTAAAATCACTGTATAAACAACAGCTTTTTGTTCATTGTATATTACTCAATGCTGCATCATATAAGTTGGTTATAGGTTCAATATTGTATTATATAAGCTGAAAAAAAAACATTTACCTTTGTGATTTATGTACTACGACTTGTAGTGGATTTGTGTTTGTTTTGCTGTCTCTGCCCCTGTTCAGAAGATTTCACTTCACTTTTTGTCCCTGTGAGAATTGGATTTTGAAAAATGTGGCATGTTTTGGAATGAAGAATAGGTGATCAAGCTTCAGTGGAGACACCTTTTCCCCACAATAACAATTCTTTCAATAGTGAATTTCCCTTCTCTCACTTCCTGTTGTCTCAACCCTGTTCATAGCTTTAAGTCAGATGTAAGTTGAATGTTTATTATTATTATTATTATTATTATTATTATTATTATTATTATTATTTATACCCCACTTTAATTCCCAAAGGGGACGCAAAGCAACTTGACATAAAAGCATTAATATACAATTAAAATATATGAATATACAAACATTAAAACAGAATGTTCATAACTCAGGACTGCCTGTACTATTTGTTGGAATTCAACCCCACACTGCCCAAGTCGCAAGTCCTCAATGAGGAGCAGTTAGTTGGTTTAGTATAGACTAAGGGCTTCCCTTCCCCCATGTCTCCTGTATGACAGTTTGAATATATCTAATTTTCTCTCCTCTCTGTTTCTGCTCTCATTCTGATTGATTATTTTAAATTGGTCCTCTTCTACTGCAAGCCTTTTTGAATCTGACTTCTGTCTTCTTACACTTTAGTATGGAGAGTATGTGCTGTGTGCTTTGAGATCTCTCTCTGTTTGTGTGTCAGGGAATATGTAGAGATTGAGTTTTTCCCTCTCTTTGAAACCTGAGAAGAGAAAGGTGTTAGAGTAGCGCAGACCCAGTTCTTTACCTTGAAGAAATGTAGTTAGTTCTTTATTATTGTAAACTAGCTCTCCCCTGCCATGCGTTGCTGTGGTCCAGTCTGTGTATATGTGTTTTGTGTGTGTATATATTTGTGTATATGTGTATATATGTGGTTTTGCGCATGCTTTGTAATGTATTTTTGGGGGGGCTTTTAAAGTTTCTTTCGCTGCGTTTTTCAGTGTTTTTATGAGTGATGGTCACTTGTTGACCTGATAGGTGTGTTGTGTCCAAATTTGGTGTCAATTAGTCCAGTGGTTTTTGAGTTATGTTAATCCCACAAATGAACATGACATTTTTATTTATATAGATAAACCTTTTGTGATTATTAAGATTGCACTCTGCATGTTCGCCTCCTAACCTCTTAATTTTTTTTACAGCCACAACCAACAGCCTTTCACACTTTGCCAGCTGTGAGCTGTTGCTCAACTTTTTGTATCCTGTTTGTTTTGGGATGCTCTGCTATTTATTTTGGGTTGTTTTCCCTAACACTATTAACCAGGGCTAATCCTGCTTAGTTTGCAAGATCAGAAGGGATATGGTGCGTAAACACATATCCACATGCCATGTCCTCTGCAATCCATCCTCAAAATAATTTGAATATTTTTTTCCCCAACTTCTCTCCGCTAGGTTCTTCCATTTGTAATACTGGCTTCTTCGGTCTTCACGGGAGCAAGGCGCTTCTGTCATCATGGCGGAGGAAGATCTTATCTTTCACATCGAATGCCTCGACAACACCAAGTTAGCAAAGACTGTTCCTGGAAGTTATCATGATGCTGATAGCGAGGAGGAAGATAACTATTATATTTGCTCAATAACAGATGATCACGACCCTTCCTTGAACAAAGGAGGGAATGACAAAGTCAGCAATTACTACAGCAACTTGGTCAAAAACGAGCAGTTTTCATCCAGCGCTTCTCCTCGAAATTCTTTCCATTTCAAGGTAAGCATCCATCTCGGCTTAACCCTCTCTGACTTACACTGGCATGGCATGCAAGGCTGATGCTTTCTGAGCAGCTTTTCTCATACTAACTATTGCAGTGAACATTACAGCTCTGTTCTGTTTACCTAGACATGTTACAATCCTCTGGTCTACTTTTCATGTTTTGACCAAGTTTCTTTAGCATGCATATCTGCTGCATGTGGAAAAGATAATGCTTGGTAGATAGCATGACATGGGAAATGCGCACAAACACTAGGCAACTGAAGGAAATAGTGTTTCTTCTCTCTGTTGTCTATACAGTGCCCCTTTTATAGACTAGATCAGCAAGGGAGCATTTTGAGAAACAAGTAGAAGTGTTTATCCCTCTGTTCAATCCACATCACCTGAAAATGACCTGCTATGACCATCAACTAATATCATCCCCTTGGTTTATCAATTGTCTAATTCGAGGGTTCTATTTGATGGTACTATCCACTGGCATCTAGCAGGACCATTCTCAGAGCCAGATTGAGTTCTGGGTGTCCATATTATTGTAATTATAATGTTAGTAATTATAATTAATTACACAGCCCAACCCAAAAACATTTCTTTTCTTGGTGTCTTGGTATTTAGGCCTATTCCTGCGGTTATTTGGGCAACCATATCTAGTTTCATAGATATGGTTATCATGTTTTTCTATGGGTGTATGGCACATGGGGCCTCCGGTGGCGCAGTGGGTTAAACCGCTGTGCTGCTGAACTTGCTGATTGAAAGGTCGCAGGTTCGAATCCAGAGACCGGGATAAGCTCCCACTGTTAGCCCCAGCTTATGTCAGCCTAGCAATTTGAAAACATGCAAATGTGAGTGGATCAGTGGGAGATTAACGGCGCTCCATGCAATCATGCTGGCCACATGACCTTGGAGGTGTCTACGGACAATGCCAGCTCTTTGGCTTAGAAATGGAAATGAGCACTATCCCTCAAAGTTGGACATGACTACACTTAATATCAGGGGGAAACCTTTACCTTTTACTTATTTTTATTTATTTATTTAGGGCTTTTATATGGCATATGTTCTATATCCCAAAAACTAAAGTTGATAGGGCAGGTCAAATATCCCAGGAACAGGTCTAAAATTCAAGGCACCACAAGGTGTGTTGGCTATCATTATCAATATTGTAATACTATTAACCATGACTCCTTGTATCGTTGAAATGCAAAGATTGAGTCAAAGGCAGCATGCTGTGCGTGGAATTTGAGAGTTGTATCTGAGCAATAATTATTTCTTTTGACTGAGAAATGGAGAGGATCTTTGTCGATCCTAAATAAATTATGTATCAAGTGTTGGCCCAACTGGGTGCATAGTACATCTGTTTTGCTAAGAGAAAGCATATTGTTCAGTAGCCAATCTTGTGATATAAAAGTTGTTTGGTAAAACCATGTGGACAGTTGTGTGCAGCATTGCGGATTTTGTAGAGAAAAGTGATTCTTGTGATGTCATTGCAGCGTGACGTTCGTGCGTGATTCTGTTTACGTGATCATTTTTTTGCTTTGCTTGATTGTTTCTCATGTATGTCCTTTAGAATGGCACTCAGCGGCTTTCTAAGCATGGCTCTGTGGCTGACCGTAGCCTGGTAGGTCAAAAACAATGCAAGAGTATTTCTTATGATGTTCTTGTGGATATTTGTGCAAATTATCTCCCATTTCATGAAGTTGTAACCCTAATTTTGCCCCTCAAAATCAATAAAGGAGAATGTCAGATCAGTGAATCTAAGGCTTCTTCCACACAGCTGAATAAAATCCCATATTATCTGCTTTGAACTGGAATATATGGCAGCGTGGACTCAGATAACCCAGTTCAAAGCAGATATTGTGGGATTTTCTGCCTTGATATTCTGGGTTATAGAGCTGTATGGAAGGCCCCTGAGAGATTAAATGCAACCTTCTCCTTTATTTCTCAGTCCAATTAATTCTGGGTAAATAGGCATTTATTTGCAGCTACAAGTATAATAAAAAAATCATACCCTCACATTAAATGTCACATGTGCAATTGTCACTGGAGGTAATTTGCAAAGAATGTGGTCTTAAATTTTCTACATAGGAGTAACTCCTTCAATGATTTGTCTCCAGTTTGAAGTAGCATTGACTAAGATGTGACAAAATATTGAAAATTTGATTATTCATAAATTTGGTTAGTATTGCCTCTAGGAATTTCTTGGTCCTCCATTGTGACTCTGTGGTCAGTTTCTGGTCGAAGTTATGCTAGAGGACCAAGAGATTCCTAGACATGATGATGATAATAATAATAATTATTATTGTTATTATTATTTTATTTCTTACGCGCCTTCTCTAGGAATTTCTGGATCCTCTGGAACAAATCTGTGGTCAGTGTCCATCAAAAGTTGACCCTAGAGTTGAATTGGAGGACCCTGAGACTCCTGGAGAGGCCTTCTTTCCAGGTTTTCCTACTTTTACAAGGGTCTTACAACCCTAATTCAAAAAATATGGAGAGGTGACTGTACTTCTGCTTTTTATTTTCTTTATTAGAGATCAATAATATTTTTAAAACTAAACATTTCCTTGATGAGCATAAAATAAATGCTGAAAAAATAATTTAAAATTTGAAAAAAAAATGCTTACATATGTGAATATGTCACATTGGCATTCCCACCATAACAAGTTTTAATCCAGATGTAGTCAGACTTATTGAAATCAGTTGGCCTTAAAGTAATCATGATCAACATATTCCACTGATTTCAGTGAATCTGCTTGAAGTAAAGTTGAATTGGTCCTATAAAATACTGGAGCTGGCAATCGATTTGGAGTTGTAATATTCATCTGCATCTCTCATATACTAACCTCTCCTATGGCTGCTTGGTGGCAGAGCACTTTAAAGACTGTGTTTTAAAAGGCTTTTGCTTCTCGATGTTCTGTATCTCGTACATTTGGAGAGGGGGTATTTGTTTTTGCATGTTTCAGCTTGAACACATCATTTTCAAAGAATAGAAATGCAGTGAGAATGCATTTTTCCCTTTTAAAGCGATGTGATCATGCTGGAATAATGGCTGGGGCCTCAATAAAGGCACCAATGCCCTCCGATCTTTGAAGCAAAGCAGAGTCAGTCCTGGCTGACTGTATTTCAGAGGAAAGAACTAACAAAACCATCTCTGAAGATTCCTCTGAAATGCATGAGATCGCTGTAAAGTGGACAGGCGAGATAAAGGAACATATGCACAAGAATTCATGGCCAAATAAGGAGACACTTAGCTGAGAGCAACAGTTGAGGAAGTTCTCAGGAAAAGGAGCAGCTGACTCAGGAACATAACTCAAAATGTTGTAAAACATCTGCATTGAGATCTTGGCCTCACATTCATTGTTCTTCACTTTCGTGCTTTTTTTTGGACCAAGACCGTGCAAAACATCTTGCAGGGTCTACTTATATGAGATGCTCAGTTGCACTGAACTAAATTCTAGGGTTTGTGTTTCCTTGATACAAAATGCAACTGCAGAAGCTTTGGAATATAATAGACCAGTGCCACTGAAACCATTGGTATGTGAACCAAAGCAAGTCCCCAAACCACAGGTTGTCTGGAATTGAGAGTTTCCAGGAATGGAAGACCCAGTGGGCACCAATATGGCCCCAATTCCTGGCACAGTGGGAAAAAAGCAATTGGCAGCTGCATCAGGGAGCTTGAGGTGCACTGAGAAGAAAGAGAGAGGGGTAGGGCAGAATGATTTTTAACCATTGAACTTTACTGTTATATTTTTCCCTTCTTCATCTCTGAAGCAGTCAAGAAAGATTAGTTCAGAGTCAGTCCAGGGTCAAATCAACAGTCAGTAACCAATGCCAAGGGATAAGCAAGAGAGTAGACAATGAGTCGTTCCAAAATTTATAGGCCAAGAAATCCTAAACAATGTCCAAAGTAGAATCTGAAACCCAAAGTCCTAAATACAGTCCCATCACACAATGTCTCGAGATCACAGCTCCAACAAAGACGTTGCTACCAGCAACTGACTGCACCAAACCCCAGCTATTTATGCTGGTTTTGCAGCTGTTCCCAATTACTGGCCCTCTTTTCTGCCAAGCGGCTGGACCTACACACTTATATTCCTTCTCTCTGCAGCTCATTGCCCTCCAGCTTAGGAGCCTGCTCCTGCTCTGTAGCCTGAGAAGTGGTGAGTTCTGCACTCTCCAGCTGAATGTGCTCCTGCTCTGTGTTTGACACAGATGCTGGAAGAGGCAGTCCCTCTATCAGGGCTGGCCATGACATTCACTGTCATTTCCCCACAAGAACTTCTGTCATGTTTAACCTTGAAAACGAAGGGTAATTTCCTATACCTTTTCACTCACCATCAAATAGTCAAAATTTTTACCAGAAGAACAGTCATAGAATCCTAGAATCCTAGAAGTGGAAGAGATCTTGCCAAGAAGCAGGAAAATTGCATTCAAAACACCCCCGAAAGATGGCCATCCAGCCTCTGTTTAAAAGCCTCCAAAGAAGGAGCCTCCACCACACTCCAGGGCAGAGAGTTCCACGGCTGAACAGCTCTCTCACACAGTCAATAAGTTTTTCCTAATGTTCAGGTGGAATCTCCTTTCCTGTCATTTGAAGTCATTGCTTCATTGTGTCCTAGTCTCCTCTGCAGCCGAAAACAAGCTTGCTCCCTCCTCCCTATGACTTCCTATCACATAATGTCAACCCAGACATTACACACATTAAGTTCTGCTTTAGTTTACAGATCCCAAAGTAGCTTTTTATTCATTGTTTGGTTTTTCAACCATGGGAATAAAAACACATAGCTTCTGAAGGATAGCTCCTCTTTATTTTACCCTGCTCCAGAGTTCATAGCCGCAGAATATCAAAAAAGGGGATTATATGATAGGTTCTAATTTCCTATTTGAGGAGCCCTCTTCTTAGAAACTTCTGCTGCTTTCTAGTTATAGCTTGCCTAAGTTTCTCTATCACTTTGTCTGACTTCAGATTTTTTAGGAACCCATCAGACAAGGAACAACAGAATGGCTGTGCAGGACATTTAACTAGTGGCTGGGGTTACCAGAGTAAACATGAGTAAGCATTAAAGGTACCTCCTGTACCTTTAATGCTTGTTCAGAGAAAGGGAGTTCAGGAGGTTTTGCTTCGAACCTGATTGCTTGACAAACATCTCACCTGCTGAGATTCCCTCTTTTGCACAGCCATTAATGGCACAAGAATTTCTTCAGTTTCCCCTTTGGTATGCCTACTGGTAATCCTAGGAGCCATTATACGGAAAACACCCCGATTTAACAGTTTCTGCCATTTTCAGGAAGCCTGGAAGCATGCCATTGAGAAAGCCAAGCACATGCCTGACCCCTGGGCAGAATTTCACCTGGAGGAGATTGAAACCGAACATGCCACGCGTTACAGGTCTGTAGCTGGTTCTGATTCCAGTATTTATTTATTTATTTACAGTATTTATATTCCACTCTTCTCACCCAGAAGGGGACTCAAGGCGGATTGCAATGCACACATACACGACAAACATTCAATGCTGTTTTTAGGCGTACAAAACATACAGACAGATAAAGGTAATTCAGCATTTTTTTCCAACTTCCGCTCCTGGAGTTTGCTTGATTCTGACCACTATGATACCGAGCCTTTGATCATAGTGTTTCCTCCTTGCTCTTTGATCTCTAGCATTTTTATGGTGTCATAAATTAACCTCTCCACTTTAAGCAGTGCTTAATTTCTCTACTCACAGCTCAGCTCTTTTAAAATTGCTTAGGTGAACAGTAAGCTGGGCTATTAACAATTGGAAGCTCAAACCCGACTCGGGCTTCAAACTTGCCACCTTCCAGTCGGCAGTGATTTATTGCTGCTAGTGATTAACCAGCTGTTCTGTAGCCCGGCTAAATACAACGCTAAGTGTGTGGCGCTAAGTGACGCTAAGTATGTGCCTTTGGACTTAACAGGTATAGAATTCCATTCATATACGTTTTCTTTAAAAAAAAAACAAGCTGAGATTGATTGATTGATTCATTCATTCATTCATTCACTCACTCACTCTCTCACTCATTCATTCATTCATTCATTCATTCAGTTTATCCTGGTCTGGGATCCAAAGTAGTCTTGTAAAATATTTATTTTATGAAACATAAAAGAGCATCCAAACTGCAATGCTATTAAAAAGTATGTAAATTAAAAGCAGTTTAAAATACAATTAAAACATAACTGACAAAATGCAAGATAAGTCAATAGAGAGAGATTAAAATCCACCGTTTAGTTGGAGCTGGTCTTAGTGGTGCCGCAGGGGCAGAAATGAACAGGAAGTGATAGCAGGTTGCTGCAGACTTCTGATTGCTGTACAGACTGATTAAATGAAATGAGTGATAACCAGATGGCTTGTTTTAATTAGCAGTTTTGTTTATGACCTTTCTCTTCATGCCTGAATAGGGTTTTTTTCTAGCTTACTTGTTCTCCATGTTAGTAGTTGCTATGATACTTATTTATCGAATCAGGAGCAAACCAAATAGTTGTATTGTATTTTAAAGAAACACACACACAAAGTTTGCAAACTTGCCATTTTATTAAATGTCCTCTGACCAGTAGCTGGCCACTTGGAGTACCTCTGGTGTTACTGCAAGGAGGTCCTCCATTGTGCATGTGTCAGGGCTCAGGCTACATTGTAATAGGTGATCTGTGCTTTGCTCTTCTCCACGCTCTCATGTCGTAGACTCCACTTTGTAGCTCCATTTCTTAAGGTTGGCTCTGCATCTCATGGTGCCAGGGCTCAGTCTGTTCAGCTCCTTCCAAGTCACCCAGTTTCCTGTGTGTCCAAGAAGGAGTCTCTCATTGATTGAGGTTCTGGGTTTTAGCCTGCCACTTTTGGACTCTCGCTTGCTGAGGTGTTCCAGCGAGTGTCTCTGTAGATCTTAGAAACCTATTTATTGATTTAAGTCATTGGCGTGATGGCTGATATCCGAACAGGGGATGGGCCAGAAATGTCACTGTCTTGGTCCTTTCACTATTGGTTGCTACTCCCTGATGGATGCCAGGTGGTGTAATATTGTCTGAACAGTGTAATTTCTCCAGTGGTGTAGGGCGCAGACACCCCATGATAATGCGGCATGTCTAATTAAGAGGAGCATCTACTGTTTTAGTGTGGTGAGATGTGTTCCACACTGGATATGTATACTCAGCAGCAGAGTAGCAAAGCACAAGGGCAGATGTCTTCACTGTATCTGGTTGTGATCCCCAGGTTGTGCCAGTCAGCTTTCGTATGATATTGTTTCTAGCGCCCACTTTTTGCTTGATATTTAGGCAGTGCTTCTTGTAGGTGAGAGAACGATCCAGGGTAACTCCCAGGTATTTGGGTGTGCTGCAATGCTCCAGTGGAATTCCTTGCCAGGTAATCCTCAGAGCTCCAAATGCTTGTCTGTTCTTAAGATGAAAAGTACTTGTCTGCATTTTAGATGGTTTGGGAATCAGCTGGTTTCCCCTGTAATAGGCAGTAAGATCACCTAGAGATTCAGAGAGCTTCGGTTCAACCATTATTTATTTATTTATTTATTTACTTTGCTTATATACCGCTGTATCTCAAGCCCGAAGGCGACTCACAGCGGTTCACAAACAGTAAAAACAGTAGAAACAGCAGTGGTTCCATACAACATATAACAATTGACTTAACACATTATCCATAAATTACCAATAAGCAATTACAATGCACAATTATTACAAAAAACAACCGTACCCAATCTTCTCATCATCCAAGCGTAGTCCAGATTCGTCGTCCATTGTTCCATTCCTATGTTCCATTACCAGATTGTACTAAATTACTCAAACGCCTGCACAAACATCCAGGTCTTCACCTTTTTGCGGAATACCATTAGAGATGGTGCTAGTGTAATGTCCGTAGGAAGGGCGTTCCACAGCCGAGGAGCCACCACCGAGAAGGCCTGCTGGAGCGGTGATGGCATGATCGTCAACATAGATTAAACTCTCTGTCCCTTCTGGCAGTGGCTGGTCATTTGTGTAAATGTTTAACATTGATGGAACAAGCACGCTCCCCTGAGGCAGGCCATTCTTCTGTTTTCCCATCTTTGGCCCTGGAACTCAACAAAGAAGTTGTTATGATATAAGTAAAGAAAGAAAAACTGAGCAGCATTAACAAAATATATCATGGAGCTCTTCTATAGCACCAAGTTAGTTACTTCCTCAGTTAAAAATAACCTTCAAGAGGGAAGTCTTCAAGGCAGTTCTGAATGCATGAGGAGGAACCCAAACTGTGAGTTCTCTTTCACTCTGTATAGTTGTAACACTTTGATTCTGCTTTAACTCCCATGGTTCCATTTGTAAGAGGCAATAGTTTCATGAGAGGCTTCCAATTTTCTACAAGAAAACTATAGTTCTGCACCAAATTACAAATGCCAAGGCAACTTCGGATACAGCCGTGGCAGTTGAAGTGGCATCACGTTGTGAAATTGTGTGTTATCAAAGAGACCCAAGTCTCTTAGAAGTTCCACAGTTTTGGGGTCACCACTGAGAATCTTTTCTTCATATTCCTCAATTATTTTAAAAATGGACAGTTTGAGAAAAGCTCTTGTGGCTTATGGGGAGGAAGGAAAGATGTGTACTCATCTCTTTTACTTACTTAGTTTTGGACACTTTGAATAGGTCTTTTTGTTGTTGTTGTTGTTGTTGTTGTCCCCTTTGTCCCAAATGATAAACAAAAAGCACAGTATACTTTAGGCTTAATCTAATTAGTACAAAAGTTCTTCGGGAATATTTTAATTCAAAGCTATTAATAGTTTGACCTCTTGGTAACAGGCTGTGCTGCTCTCTAAGCAGTTTTCCCTTCACTCACACGTACGTATCTCTCTGCCAAGCACGACCAGAATGTAAATCTCAGCAAAGACCATCAGGAACACTGACAGAATACAGACGTCTGAGTTGGGCGCAACCCTAAAATGCGGACTTGCGTCACTCATCCCTATCCAGTGTATGTAGATGTGACGTGTGTATGTAGTGTGAAATTTGACCAGCTAGTCTTCTGCTTATGATATTTTGTAAGTACATGAGAGCCCCCTTTGCCATCACCTGAGCATTCATTTAACCCGAAAGTGCCACTGTGGGGTAGGAAAATAGATAGACCAAACTATGGCCAAGTTCAAGACTATGTTCACCACCACTATAGCATTAGATCTCACTAGCATAGCAATGCTGCACTTTTTGGATGACACTCTTTCACAACCAGCTACACAGTGGGAGATCAAGACATTCACTCTGATGTTTCACAACACATTGTTGAGATCAAACTTTTGACAACTTCCAGACAATGACAGTAATTACTAATGTAACAGAGCTTGTGCCCACTGGAATAGAATATCATCCTTGACAGTAGACTGATATTACAGTTTTCAATGTATTGAAATCCAGAAGCATGTGGACAATTTCAACAGAAAGGACAAAACCATGAAAATGAACAAAATCTGGCTAGGTAAAGGTAAAGGTTTTCCCCTGATGTTAAGTCTAGTTGTGTCCAACTCTGTGAGGTGGTGCCCATCTCAGTTTCTAAGAGCCGGCGTTGTCCGTAGACACCTCCAAGGTCATGAGGCCACCATGGAGCTACCACTATTTTAAATAGTGGCTACCACTATTTAAAACAAATCTAAAATCAGGACAGTAAATAAAGATCAATACTCAAAAACGGGAATTCCAGACAAGAAACAATAAGGGCCAGCTAATCACCTCCCAACAAAAGATTTCCCCAGGCAGGAAGCAGCCAAGTTTTGAAGCTGCAAGGCTATTCAATACTAAACAAGGTGATTAATTGCAACATTCACACTTGCCTCCAACAGATAAGAGTTCTTTCTCCCACCCTGGACACTCCACAGATAACTAAACCCCACTTGCCTAGTTCCCAATAGACCTCACAACTTCTGAGGATGCCTGCCATCGATGTGGGTGAAACACCAGGAGAGAATGCTTCTGGAACATAGCCATACAGCCTAGCAAACTCACAGCAACCCAGTAATTCCGACCATGAAAGTCTTCAACAACACAATCTCCAGAAGCAGTCTCTCCTGATGTTTCACCCACATAGATGGCAGGCATCCTCAGAAGAATCCACTGGCTGGGCCTTTTTTGGGAATTGTCATCCAAAAATTAATTTTCTCTGGAGTGAACACAGGTTAGATTTGGTCAGCTTTGTTCTTATCCTTGCTGCACTGTTCTTTTTAAAGAATTACCGTAAAAATCGGGCTATACGACGACTTTTTAAACCTTGAAAACCCTTTGAAAAGTTGGGGGTCGTCTTGTCTTCCGGATATCAGAGGACGATGATGTATAACAGCGGCAGCGGAGCCTGCAGGCGAGCCCTGACTTCGTCTTCAGGTGAAGTGGCTTGCCAGCGCACCCGCTGCCGCTTCTGGCGAGACCACCTCCATTTCAGCCACGTGAAGTGGCGAGCAGAGGACACAGCCGAGGCAGCGGAGGAGAATCTGAGCGTGCTCGCCCCTGCTGCTCCTGGCGAGGCTTGACTCTGGCCTCCAGGCGCTCCGTTGGGTCCCAGTTGGGCCCAGTGAGGAAAGAGGCAGCGAGAGGAAGGAGTCCGGAGGGCAGCCTTCCTCACGCTGCCTCCCTCCTTCCTGGGCGCAATTGGGGCCAACGGAGCGCCTGGCCCCTCGCCTCGCTGCTCCTGGAGGCCAGTCGAGCCCTGGAAGTCAGACAGGCAGGCAGGCTGCTGCGAGGGGAGATTCTCCTCCTTTGCCTCGGCTTGCAGAGGCCTGCACTGGTGAAAGCAGCGAGCGGACAACGCAGCCGAGGCAAAGTCCCCTTCCACCTCTATTAATACTATTAATAATAATAATAATAATAATAATAATAATAACA